CCATAGTAATTTCAGAAATATTACATACAAAATTGCCTGAGTGTGAATCGTGCCAGATTGTCCATTTAACAAACGAACGCATCAAAAACTACCGAACCGCGATGTCCTTCATATTTCACAAAACAACAACAATTGCATAGTTCAAATTAGGTTATTAAGTATTGATGTTTTATAAAACCTTATCTATATGTACCGTATATACTCCTGTAATACAACACATCATACCCTAAATTATTAATACGGAACATAAATTAAGCTGAAAACGTATTTTATGGTATACACACCCCAACAAGTCCCACTTGGATATATTGTATACCACAAAGAAGGCCCATGCGTGTCTCACACACTGTATACGGTAGAGACATACTATTCCGGTATACGGTGCACACACATATGTACATGAGTTGATACATGCAGTTGATGATAACTCACTGTACTGAAAAAGAATGTATAAAAATAACATAAAATATCTTATACTTTTATTGTATGTGATATTAGCTGGCCATCACCGTGATCTCAAATAATTATTAATATATTATTCATTTATATACCGCACTTATCAAGATACAAGTATCTTGCGTTTTTTGTACCCCGACCAGTGGATCCTTTGGGATTCCATCCATCATTCTCAACTCCCTGGTGAGTATACAACCCAGCCATCATTCTCAACTCCCTGGTGAGTATACAACCCAAGGTACCTACACTAGAGGGTTTCTCCATCCACCTCACATATCGGGTCCCCATTCCCTGATTGGTGAACAAAGGCACCTTTGAAGAAAGACACTTGTCTAGGATGACACCACACGTTTTGACACTTGTGTTTCGGGTGTATGGACGTATTCGTGTTTCCACCATCTGGTCGTCTACCATAGGATAAGTGGGTTCTTTTGAACGTGAGGGTGAATGTACTGCACGGGAGTACACTAAATTAGGGGTAGTGACAACACTGTAAGACCTGTAAACATTCTTTGTCCACTGGCGCAATAGCAGCCTGGTCAGAAGCGAGATACCATCTCAGCACCTGGCGCTTAAGACGCCTGTCCACTCCCCTCGCCGCAGATTAACATCATGCCTCATCATGATCGGCGTGTAATGGCTAGTAATTCACCACGCCCTGTCTATCACCTAATAAGGTCCTTGTAAGTTTACAATTAAATGAATACCCTTTTTGTGTGGAGTGAGTGAGTGAGTGAGTGAGTATGGTTTTACGCCGCTTTTAGCAATATTCCAGCAATATCACGGCGGGGCACACCAGAAATGGGCTTCACACATTGTACCCATGTCGGGAATCGAACCCGGGTCTTCGGCGTGACGAGCGAACGCTTTAACAACTAGGCTACCCGACCGTCCCTTTTTGTGTGGAAAGAATAGAAGAAATATATGTGAGTTCAAGACAGGAAACGTGGCATATTAGTTATGCATCACTATTATCAGGCAGTATGAGCTATGTTGTAGTGGGCACAGGTGGTCCAATCGTTTTTGTACTGATTTGCGTCCCTTGGGCACGCCAGAATCCTATGATTCTGGGTTTGAATCCCTGTTCTCCCCGCTTATGTTTCTAGGGTTGTCAGCACCACACCAAAGTAGTCAACGTCTGAGACCTGCATCACTTCGGGCTTTCCCCCGCGTGTCGTGATATAAATGGAATAATGTTCAAAGCGGGGTTGAACCCAACTCACTCACTTACTCTATGGTGTACGAACATTGACCGCCCCAGGGACGCCGGTGGTAACAGCAGGTTATGGTGACTGTCTACATCAGTGCTTCTTGTCATTGATGGAAAAAGACATGTTCACTGAGCTTGAAATTACGATATAATAAGATTTGCTGTGTCCTTGAAACTATTTACAACAGTAAATAACGTTGTCGTTGTAGTCGCACTAAGGGTAGGGAACCATGGCGGTTGTTGATGTGGCGGTAGAGGTAGGGGTATTCTTATTAGATGTAGACAGATTGGTAGACTTAGCTACAGAAATAATAATATGTTTAGAGTGTGTGAGTTTCATGCCATTTTTACGAATATTCCACCAATATTACAGAAATGGGCTTCACACATCGTACCCACGTAGGGAATCGAACCCGGGCCTTTGTCGTGACGAGCGAACGCTTTTAACCACTTAGCTACCCAACCATCCCGGTAGACGTAGATATAGACGTGGTTGTAAACGTAGACGTAGAAGTCGGAAAAAAAACCCTTATGATGCAACGCCAATAACAGCTACATTTATGACTGCCACACTTGATGCGACTTCATGTTACACTCGCATCCCTAAATGTTGGTGAAAAACGCATAGTCAGCTATTCAGCTATTGCCTAGCTGCCCCCCCCCCCCCCCTTCCTCCCCTTCCCCCTTAGGATTTGAAAAAGAGCAGGTAGAACGCTACATACTTGACATATGTTGATAAATCGTCACATGGTGCAACTACATACGACAAATCGTTTGGAAGAAGCTATGCAGGGTGTCAGCTTGCTGTTGTTGCTTTGCGATGCCTGCAGTCACAATTGTTGACAGATACATGGCGTTTGTTTTGTTTATGGCAGGATCGTGGTTGCTCAACAACTGAATGATTCATATTTGACTGTCATCCTGCTCTGATATGTTCCTAAACCTGATTATCTTGAGAGGGTGATGGACAATACTTGTTATTGCTGACGGAAGCAAAACACTGATATGAGGTATCTTTGTGAACATGTAGCACCGAGCCACCTGTCGCAGTTTTGTGTCACCATGTGTCATGTGGACTGCATTTACACAGAGTAAAAAATCATTATAACTCGACCCAGTTTCCGTGACCTGAAACACAGAGATACCAGGGAAGGGACCCAGTCGTCCTGCCGGGAACGTACTTTACCACGGGGATGTCAAGACTGCAACGTACAGGGAGAACCTGGCGTCCGTGACGACAGTCGTGGAGAATCGTCCACCCCAACACACGCACGCACGCACGCACGCACGCACACACACACACACGCGAAATTAAGAAAAAAGGTTCAGAAAAGTAAATAGAATGTTGTTATTGGCTTGTATATGTCGTCGTCCTGGGTTATGTTTGTTTGTTGTTTTACGGCTATCCTGACCAACATGTATTCTTCTTTCTCAATTGATTGAAATGTGTGTATGTCCGTGAAAAGACAAAGAGCGATAGAAGGGGAAATGTGATTTGTTTGTTTGTTTGTTTATTTGTTGTTTAACGCCACACTCAGCAATATTCCAGCAGTATTAGACGGCGGTCTGTAAATAATCGAGTCTCAACCAGACAATCCAGTGATTGACATCATGAGCATCGATAACCGAAATTGGGATGCGATGACATCTTCCAAGTCAGCGAGCCTGACCACCCGATCCCGTGAGTCGCCTCTTACGACAAGCGTAGTCGCATTTTACGGCAAGGATGGGTTGCTGAAGACCTATTCTACCCCGGATCTCCACGGGTTCTCCGATACTTATGAATAAAATAAAGATTATTCGTTTATTCGAGTCGGGTGTGTCCACCATACACAACATGTGGTACACAATAAATGTGTCTGAAATAAGCAGTATGGCGTGGTGGTATAACTGCCATATACAAAGTACATGTGGTGGTATGGGTACGTACTACTACACACAACATACGTGCTGGACAGTGCCTACAGTCATCTAGATCACTGATGGTCATCAGAGAAAAATGCCAGATTTATTGACATGGAATTGGGTGTTGCGACTGGTTTCTGCCTTAGCCTCCTAAACACCACGCATCTTGCACATACTAACGAAGTGTCCCCAACGACTGTGCGCATGATCTCACTATAGCATGTTCAGAATCAGCAATGACTCGTCAGTTTGGTTATCAGTAATCTCGGCCCATTTCGAGGTGATCCCTTTCTGAATGTCTGCGCTCGTTTGTGTCATAACGTGACAGTGGTGATTTATAGCATGTGCAGATGCATATTAACTACCACTTTCTCTGAATCCGCCTGTCAATGCACTGACTGAGCGATTTGGGTTTAGCTTTTAAGCAATATTGCAGCATTATACATAAAGGACTTAATGAATAGATTTTCTTGGCACCTGTACCTATGTGTGGAATTGAACTCAACGCATTCAACCCCTAGGTTAGCCCAACGTAGACAGGAGATAGGAAAAAAGGTTTAGAAGAGACAATGGAAAGTTTGTTATTGGTTTGTATTGTCGAGGAGTTGTCGGGTAGCCTAGTGGTTGAACGTTCACTCGTCACGCCGAAGACCTGGGTTCGATTTCCGACATGGGTACAATGTGTGAAGCCCATTTCTGGTTTCCCCCGCCGTAATATTGCTGGAATATTGCTAAGAGCGGCGTAAAACCTCACTCACTCACTCACTCAATTGAATATGTCGACCTGGTTTTGTTTGTTGTTTAACGCCGCACTCAGCAATATTCAAGCTACATGACAGCGTCTGTAAATAATCGAGTCAAGACCTGACAATTCAGTGATTGACATCATGAGCATCGATCCACGCAATTGGGACGCGATGACATGCATCAACTCCCCCATCCCTTTAGTCGCCTATTATGACTAGCATGGGTTGCTGAAGACCAATTCTAAGATGTCATATGACGTGATTGTATCTTTACGCCGTGACCAGCAATATTTCAGCTGTAACGTGACTGGCTGTAGCAATCGAAACTGGGTCAGGGAAACCAGAGATTGACATCATGAGCCACGCCGTCGGGATACGATGACTCACTCATCTAGGTGACGCATAGCCTCCGCTCCTCACCAGTAGGTCCTTACGGCAAAACGTGTACATGGAACCCATTCTGCCCCGGGATACCCACGGGACTCCGTTTAAGAGTGAGTGAGTACGGTTTTACACCGTTTCAAGAAATATTCCAGGCGGAGGACAGCAATGGGCTCACACATTGTACCCATGTGGGGAATCGAACCCGGCGTGACGAGCGAACGCTTTAACCACTATGCGACCCAAACCGTCCCCCTCAGTTTAAGAACTAAAGTGATGTCTCTGATAAATGTACAACTTACCGCAAACAGGTGGCACATAGTGACGGAGAGCCCGATGGTGAGAGGCGTGGAGCCATTGAGGTCCTTCCTCTTGGAGTCGACGGAAGCGAACACTGTGAAGACGAGGACCAAGGTAATGAACAATTCTATCCCAACTGCACGTCCTGGGTCGATCTTTTCATTAACTTGGGTGAGCCCAAGACCTTTTCCTCCTGCATCTTTCAGCCCGTACAACAAGCCCGCTCCTACAATGGAACCGAGAAGCTGGAAGATGACGTAGAACACAGCCCTCGCCAGACTGATCTTCCTCGTCGCTAACATCGCCGCCGTCACTGCAGGGTTGATGTGTCCCCCACTGACATGGCAGATCATCCATACGATGGTGGCAACGCTCAGCCCGAAACATAACGCTATGCTTACTATATTGGCTTCTTTGGAAACACATGATCCGCATCCGACGAACACAAGAAGCAATGTTCCCAGGAACTCTGCTGCTATTGCTTTCCAGAAGCGCAGAGACTGGATGTCATCTAGACTGGTCACCATTCTTGCTCTAGACAGACAGGTGTCGTTTGTACGCAAGCCGCTTGACATCTATAGGTCGCAGTCCAAGGTACTGTCTCTTATCAGTTGTGGGATCCCTACAGTCAGGACAACACTGTTACGAGTTGCTGCTGATCTGATTGAGTCGTGGGCCGTGCTGCAGTTTGCTTGTTTGACTTGGGATATAGACCGGGCGAAGTTTTGTTGAAAGTTAAGAATACACTGGGCGTTTGCATTGGTTTGCGACGGCGTTCCTCTGAGTCTTCAAATATGACACGACAGGCTTTCATAATAATTCCACGATGTTTACATTCCGGTTCGAATTGAATTCCGTTTCCATTTACGACCAATTTGTGAGAAGTTTGCCGACTCATTGCCGCAAACAGAGTTTGGTTTCAGAGAAGTTGGGGGAACACTGTGTTGGTTTGGTGCATTCCAACAAATTGACATTGGGTATATTAGTAACATATGTATTTACTATGTGCTTAGGTATGGTGTATCAAGGCATTAATATACTATGTGCTTAGGTACGGCGTATCAAGACATTAATATACTATGTGTATAGGTATGGTGTATCAAGACATTAATATACTATGTGTATAGGTATGGTGTATCAAGACATTAATATACTATGTGTATAGATATGGTGTATCAAGACATTCATATACTATGTGTGTAGGTATGGTATATTAAGACACGTATATACGATGTGTGCAAGTATATTAAAACATGTTAATACGATGTGTGTAAGTATGGTATCTCAAGACATGTATATACTATGTGTGTAAATATGTTATATCAAGACACGTATATACCACACACACACACACACACACACACACACACACACACACACACACACACACACACACACACACACACACACACACACACACACACACTATGTGTACTAGTTTCTCCCGTATATCTTTAGATGTGCCTGTTTAACGTATAGCAATGCCCCAATCAAACCAAACTGATTCAGCACCTGTTAATGACAGGCAGGTGTGGAATGGTGATAAAAGTTAATGTTTCATAAACTGTTGAGAGGATCGCCTATCATCAAATATCCAAAATACTCCCGAGCTGTCTGATTGTAATAATTGTACACTTGGACGCTATGTATATCTTTTCACTACTTAAAGTATGTAGGAACGAGCAAATCAGGCATCCACAAGATTAAGACCTCGTAACCCTGAGTGTACATCAGCCCTGAGGGAGGCCAGGGGGGCATTGGGGGAACTCCGGCAGAATAGGAAAGAGCGTACTGTTGCCTTACGAACATGTATACAGTTATTAATAATAATAATCGCATAAACTTTGATAAAGTTCCTCACTTTGAAACATCACAACAATTCATTCCGGGCTTGGAAGGAAGTAATTAGCATCATCCAAGCAAGACACCAGCCGCTATTTCCAAATGTGAACGGCGTCGTCATTACAGATCAGTATTTTCATAAAAAGCGAGAAATACAAATCTTGCTAGCTTCAGAGGCATCTCATTAACCATTAACCAATAGTTTGGACAGTCATTTACGTCCATTTGTACAAAGGATTTGCTGCTTGTGCAGATATAAAGGACAAAATACCTCATGCAGGATTCGGAGATGGATATTTAACAACATGTCAAGTTTACTCTATCTTTAACTCAACCAGAAAATAGGATATTGCCTTAAGAAATGATTTTCTTAATGGAAAGATGTATGTAATGTTAAGGGGTATTTTTTTCTAATCGCAAGGCCTGTGTGAGATGCAGTGGGGACTTATTGAGAATCATGTCAGTGATTATTTTGTTTGCCCTATTGGAGTTAAGCAAGGGTGTATACTTGTTCCAATCTTGTTTTTGCCTTTCATCTGTGCATTATCATTAATTTAGTAGACATGATGTACAACTTTATCCCGATTTACTTTAAACCCTCATGCTTCTCTTTGTCGATACTAATTTTGGTTTAGAAATCATCTGAGTCTGTCAGATATCTGTACGACCCGTGAAGATCTGGTTAGAATGTCTTCAGCAACCCATACTTGCCGCGACAGGTGACTATGCTTTTCGTAACAGGCGACTTACAGGATCGGGTGGTCAGACTCGCTGACTTGGTTGATGCATGTCATCGTATCCGAATTGCGTAGATAGATGCTCATGATGTCAATCACTGGATTGTCTGGTCCAGACTCGATTATTTACAGACCGCAATCATATAGCTGGTAGTATTGCTGAGTGCGGCGTTAAACAAACAAACAAGATACCTATAACAAATAATTCGAACTTAACTGTAAATATCGATAAAAACAAAAAAAGATTCTTCAGAAGAGGCTGTTCCTCAGAGCCCGCGAGTAGTGTTGTTATAAAGGTAAATGGATTGAGGTGGTAAATGAATAAATTTGTGGGTGTGTTATTTACTCATACGCTCTGTGTGAGTAAGAAGGGCAATGATTTAGCTGTAAAGGGCAAAAGTAGCTCTAGATGATGTTCTTTCTGTAATGTTTAAATTAGAGGTTCTTAAACATGTACCATTTCTAAGTTGTTGTACGAGTCTAAAGTATTGAGCTTCATTCAATAGAACAATGCACCTTTTGCCATGTGGAGGACATCACCAAATGTGACGCGTCAGCGACAATAAAAGCCCTTTCCATATTCATACATGTAAGAAATCTCACATGCAGGTTTCGCGATAAGTGAGTGTATCCTGCCCCACCGGTGGCACCCGTCACAAACACAAATGTTGTCCGATGCAATTCCCTATTTAAACTTGTTCCATATGTTCCCGTTTTTTTTTCATGTGAACAAATGACTTGCCTTTGCATGTGTTCGTGACAGGTGCCAAGGGTGGGCCAGGATACGCACACCTTTTCTCGAATACCTGGCATCATCACAATCTCATTAAAATCAGATCTTAGTTTCGCTACCGTTAAAAAAGATCTGAGGACAGCCCATTACGGGACACGTCAGAACGACCTTTCGCGAACTTTGACCAACCAATGAAATGACTAACAAAAAGTGGACATTAGCCAATCATAAAGCAGCTTTCTCGAGCTATACGGCACAAATTTCTAACTGGCGACTACGCTTTGAAAATATCTTGACAAAGTTCTCTATTCCAAATTTGAAAATTGAACAAAAGTTAATTCTGAAATGTCTGTTAGATGGTCGAGATCGCATGGCAGTACTCCCACAGGCTATGAAAACACTCTTCCGTTTCAAATGCTTATCCAACTGAAGCAAGAGATAAACGCTGATTTTGACGGAATCAGCCGTACAACCCGTAACTGTCGTATGAAATGCCCCGCGTTGACCTTCAGAAGGCTGTGCCCGGCACGTTGCGCTTCCAATGTTAAGTGAGTGAGTGAGTGAGTTGGGTTTAACGCCGCTTTTAACAGTATTCCAGTTATATCGCGGCGTGTCAGCTTAATGTGGGAGGAAAGCCCGAAGTGGTGCAGGTCTCAGACGTTTATCACTTCGGTGAAACCCACGAGCAGGGGTATGGTGCTGACAAACCTAGAAACATAATCGGGGCGAACCGGGATTCGAACCCACAATCATAGGTTTCTGGCGTGCCCAAGGGACGCAACTCTGCACAGCGAATCGCGGCGCCTTAGACGACTGGGCCACCCGAGCCCCCTCCAATGTTAATGGAAAGCCTTTTGTGTCGCTACTTAACTCTCATGCTGTACAAACTCAACATAACCTTGCCATGATGTTTAGGAGTTCTTATAATATGTTTCCAGATAATGTTACGTGACCTTACCCATTTCGCAGGGGCCGGAGGAATAACGTAAACTGCCTGCCAAAAGAAACTATACACTTGAAAATTGTTTGATAGGCATTTCTTTGAAGTCGACGAATAACAAAGTTGGCAAAGGTTTTTGGATAACAAGTTCTTTATTAAACAATGAAAAACAACATCAAATTCAAAGAGCACCAAACTTCAACCATCAAATCAGCCAGCTCGGATCATATCAGCAACTGACCCTATGAAAACCTCATTTGAGAAAAAGATTAAAATCCTCTCCAACAACCGGCAGTTAACAATATATTCATTTTGACTTTGACTAGGTGGGTACGTACGATGGTTTCTATATGTGATCAGGTTTGATAGCATCTTAGCATACACACACAAGCGTGAGTGATCCTCGTTTCATTATGAGTTGCCTTGACCTCTAAACTTAACAAAATTAAAAATGCGATAATATTTCTAGCTGCAAAACAAAGCTGTTATACTTTCTGAAGAAAACAGAATCATTAGTAAATGCCCTTGACGTGGACCTTGCCATTGATTACATCCATGATAAGTAACAAATGTTGACAGATACATTCATAGTATATGTTCATGAACATAAAATACTCTCTTTCTAAATCCATGCAGTTTAACCGAAGGTTTGCACAGTGGGAAGCAATATGACATCTGGTGAGCTTGACATACGGAGGTCACCTCCCACGATTAAGACCCTTGGAAATTCTGCGCACCAAGTTTAGTCAAATTCAAATTATAAAGACTCAAGTTTTGTTGGAATGTTTGTTAGTTGTTGAACGCCGCCGGTGCGACACAATATTCCAGCTATAAGACTATGACGGCGGTCTGTACAAAAACGTAATGATCGAAGTGAAAACTTTAATGTGCATATGCGGAAAATATATTCCCTTATGTACTTGAACAATCACCAAATTCACATCAGCAATGAATGACTTTTACCCGTGTCGAATGAAGAGCGTAACGTGTATTCATAGCATGTTCCTGAGGTCCAGCTTGTGGCATATCATGTTGTGTAGAGTGAGTGAGTGAGTGAGTTGGGTTTAACGCCGCTTTTAACAGTATTCCAGTTATATCGCGGCGTGTCAGCTTAATGTGGGAGGAAAGCCCGAAGTGATGCAGGTCTCAGACGTTTACCACTTCGGTGAAACCCACGGGCACGGGTATGGTGCTGACAAACCTAGAAACATAATCGGGGCGAACCGGGATTCGAACCCACAATCATAGGTTTCTGGCGTGTCCAAGGGACGCAACTCTGTACAGCGAATCGCGGCGCCTTAGACGACTGGGCCACCCGTGCCCCCTGTAGAAATACAGAGGGACACTGTAGTACATAAGTTGGCTAATACAAGGTGTTTCTCACGGCCTTGTAATGTTAATGTCACGGTTTGTTTGATACCAAGCTCTTTTCAAACATAATCTGTCGTTGCAATCCATTGTTAG